GTCTCCCGGCTCTGGCTCCTCCTCGGAAAGCGTGTAGGTGGGATTGAGGAGCTCCTCAAAGTATTCCTTCCACCGCCCGAATATAGCCCCAGTTGACGTCAGCAACTCCCCATCCCCACTGTAAACAGTGTGAGCAAGTTGCTGTCTCCCTCTCCTGAGGCGCCGGACAGTTTGCCAGAACCTCCTTGGCGCAGATCGATAGTCTTTCTCCATGGCCTCACCAAACTCCTCCCACGCCCGAGATTTAGCCTCGGCAACTGCCACTGCTGCACCCTGCTTGGCTATCCGGTACCTGTCTGCTGCCTCCGGAGACCCACAGACCAGCCACGCCCTGTAGGCCTCCTTCTTCAGCCTGACGGCTCCAGGAACCTCTGGTGTCCACCAGCGGGTACGGGGGTTGACACCACGACTGGCACCGGCCACCTTGCGACCACAGCTAGCAACAGCCACCTCAAAAATCGCAGAGTGGAACAAGGCCCACTCGGAGTCAATGTCCCCCACTGCTCTCTGGACACGGTCAAAGCTCTGCCTTATGTGGGAGTTGAAGACCGTCTTGACAGGTTCTTCTGCCAAGTGTTCCCAGCTGACCCTCACTATGTGTTTGGGTCTGCCAGGTCTACGCGGCATCTTCCCCTGCCATCTGATCCAACTCACTACCAGGTGGTGATCAGTTGACAGCTCCGCTCCTCTCGTCACTCGGGTGTCCTAAACATATGGCCACAGGTCAGATGATGTGACTACAAAGTCTATCATCGACCTGCGACCTAGGCTGCCCTGGTACCAAGTGTACCGATGGGCATACTTATGACATGTTGTGAGGGTGGAGATGGTGGACCAAGTGTGGTGGAGGGTTCCAGGAGGCAGAAGAGCAGGCACGGATGAAATAAAAATGGATTTAATAGCAACGGGAGTGACAGGACAAAACGAGACATGCACATACATGACAGAATGATCCGACCAAACCTGGACCTGTGGTGAGCCTGCTTTTCTGTTCTGGAGGATTATTTTTTTCTTTTTATCCTTTTCAGCGGAGGTAGATTCCGGCCTGGAGTTGTGTTTCTCGGCACATCCTACATGTTCTTGGGGTGGTCGAGCCCTCTGGGTGATCCTGGCGCATCCTATCAGTTTCCGGGGTGGCCAAGGTCTTTTCTCCTCTCCTGCTGTTCTGCCCCGTCCTGTTTTTTACGGAAGCTGCCGTTTCCTGGAGTTCTCTGATGGAAGTAAAATCCCCTACACACGCCATAATTCTCCGGGATGGTAGGGCTGGTCTTCCTAATCCGTGGTCTGCTTCCCTTCACCCGAGCCTGCCTGTGGATCCTGTCGAGTCACGGTGTGCACCTGCTCCGAACTGTTGTTGAGTACCTGCTACCGCTCCTGGTTCCCTCGCGTCGCTCCTGCTGTTTCGTCCCACTTCCTGGTCCACGCCTGCATGGTCTATGCCTGCAGGTCCTTCACGCGGCAGTTCCTGCTGGGTCCCACGCCTGCTGCTGCAGTTCCTGCTTGTTCCCACGCCTGCTGCTGCAGTTCCTGCTGGGTTCCACGCCTGCTGCTGCAGTTACTACAGGGTCCCGTCCCGGCTGCTGCGGTTTGTCTTCATGTTCCAGTCAAGTCTTCGTGTCCCAGCCAAGTCAAGTGTTCCTGTCCAGCCAAGTCAAGTGTTCCTGTCCAGCCAAGTCAAGTGTGCCTGTCCAGCCAAGTCAAGTGTTCCTGCTCCAGCCAAGTCAAGTGTTCCTGCTCCAGCCAAGTCAAGTGTTCCTGCTCCAGCCAAGTCAAGTGTTCCTGCTCCCATCAAGTCAAGTGTTCCTGCTCCCGTCAAGTGTTCCTTCTCCCGTCAAGTGTTCCTGCTCCCGTCAAGTGTTCCTGCTCCCATCAAGTCAAGTGTTCCTGCTCCCGTCAAGTGTTCCTGCTCCCGTCAAGTCTTCCGAGTCCTGTCCCCAGTCAAATCTTCCCAGTCCTGTCCCCAGTCAATTCTTCCCAGTCCTGTCCCCAGTCAAGTCTTCCCAGTCCTGTCCCCATTCAAGTCGAGTGTTCCTGATCTCCTGTGTTGTGTGGCCTTGTGGGCGTCTGGTATCCGCCCCTTTGGGGGGGTGGGGGGGGGGTGTACTGTCACGATCTGCCCCTGCCCTCCTGATTGTCTCTCTCCTGCCCTGATTAGTCCGTATTGTTTTCACCTGTCCCTCGTTAACCTGCCCATGTTTTCCTAATTAGCCGTGTGTACTTGTACCACCTGTTTTGCTCCTGTCCTTGTCAGGTCATTGTTGCTTGTAGTCATTGTTGTTTTGTTCCTGTCGTTCCCATTCCACCATTAAAACCATTTTTATTTTTCATCCGTGCCTGCTCTCCTGCCTCCTGGAACCCTCCACCACACTTGGTCCATCATCTCCACCCACACATCATGACATCTTATGTTCGAACATGGTGTTCAATATGGCCAAAATGCGGCTTGCACAGAAGTCCAATAACAAAACACCACTCGAGTTCAGATCAGGCGGGCCGTTCCTCCCAACCACACCCCTCCAGGTCATGCTCTCATTGCCCACGTGAGCATTGAAGTCCCCCAGCAGGACGATGGAGTCCCCTGATGGAACACTATCTAGCACTCGTTCCAGGGACTCCAAAAAGGGTGGGTAATCCGATCTGATATTTGGCGCATAAGCACAAACAACAGTCAGGACCAGTTCCCCGACCTGAAGGCACATGGAAGCTACCCTCTCGTCCCCCGGGGTAAACCCCAACACACAGGCAGAGTCTTGGGGCTAACAAAAAGCCAACTCCAGCCCCCCGCCTCTCACCTTGAGCAACTCCAGCAAAGGAGAGTGTCCAACCCCTCTCAAGGACTTGGGTTCCAGAGCCAATGCTATGTGTCAAGGTGAGTCCAACTATATACAGCCGGTACTGCTCAACCTCTGCCACAAGCTCCTGCTCCTTCCCCGCCAACGAGGTGACGTTCCATGTCCCAATAACCAGTTTCCTTGTCTGGGGATTGGACCGCCAAGGCACCCACCTCGGTCTGCCACCCGATCCACACTGCACCGGACCCTTCGTGTTCCTCCTACTGCAGATCTGGAAAAAATCACGCTTAGACTATTGTAACGCTCTTTTTACTGGTCTCAGAAAAATCTCCCTCTCAGACCTTCAAGCCATCCAAAATGCAGCAGCCAGACTCCTAACCAAATCCAGCAGACGAGCTCACATCACTCCAGTTTTACAGTCCCTCCACTGGCTCTCGGTAGAATATAGAATACAGTTTAAAGTTTTAGTCCTGACCTATAGAGCTCTTAACAACCAGGCTCCAAGCTACCTATCTGAGCTTTTATCGCCACACACCACCTCACGGAGCCTTAGATCCACATCTGAAAACCTCCTGGCTGTTCCTCGAACCAGACTGAAAACCAAAGGGGACAGGGCCTTTCAGACTATTGCCCCCAGACTTTGGAACAGTCTGCCTTCAAATCTCCGTCTCTCTAACACTGCAGAGGTCTTTAAAAATCATCTAAAAACTCACCTTTTCATCCAGGCGTTCCTCCCCTAAATGTTCTAAAAGATGGCTTTGTTCGGGTTCACACCTTCACTTTGTTTTACTCCTGATTTTATTTTCTATTTTATCACTGCTATTGTTTTTCTGATGTTTTAATTGGTTAGAGGTATTTTCCTGATCTTACTCAAGTTGTAAAGCGCTTTGTGATTTATATCTGCGAAAGGCGCTCTATAAATAAACTTTTACTTACTTTTACTTACTTACTCCTGCGGATGGTGGGTCCACAGTTGGATGAGCCCATGTATATGGTTCGGGCTGTGCCCGGCCGGGCCCCATGGGCAAAAGCCCGGCCACCAGGCGCTTGCTCACGGGCCCCAACCCCAGGCCTGGCTCCAGGGTGGGACCCCGGTAACCCTCCAGGCCGGGTACTCCGACCCTTTCTTTTTACATCCATTAAAGATCTTCTGAACCATTCTTTGTCTCACCCATCGCCTAAAACCCATTTGTCATGGGAGACCCTACCAGGGGCACAAAGTGCCCCTGACAACATAGCTCCTAGGATCATTAGGGCATTCAAACTCCTCCACCACGATAAGGGGACGGTTCAAGGAGGAGCTGGTTTTGTAAGGAAAGAATATCTATATATATATAACATACGGATTAATTTATTGTAGGTGCAAGCACGACAGTGATTTATGTAGGGAGTGGGTTCTTCCCTTGGAGGCCCAGTAGGATGGCTAGCAATTTTCTTGGGATGGCCATTACCCCCCCTGGCCACCCCTTGTAGGCACCACTGCCTGTGTGACTCTTACCTAAATGCAACCTTAAAAATCAAAACAGCTATTTTTGTCGCATTTGTCCAATGAATTATTAAACCACTGAAGTAAATTTTTGAGTAGCTTACATTGAAATTCCTTTTAATTTGTCATCAATAAAAACCACAAAATAACAATGAGAAAAATAGCAGTATTATAAATCTAAATGTTAATTCTGCAGAATAGTCACAATAGTCCTGAGGTGGGGACCCATCATCTTATCAACAAAGTATTTTTTTTTTCAACTAATGATTTTTTTTAATAAGCAGTTTTTGCCTGCAATATATTGGAATCGTTTGTGATGGTGAAATTGCTAATTAATTTTCAATACTCTGTGCAGTCCTTGTTGAAGAGACATATGCATTATGTCTATATATGTCTTTAAAGTTTTATAATGGAGTTGAAAAATAAAAGATTTCCACACATTGAGGCCATCATTTTTTTTAACCAAGGGATGACCTATCACACAAAAATGAACAGCCTTAATATTCTTTATGAGAACAACGTTCAATTGTGACTTATTCTATGTAAATCAGGTAGTTATCATTAACAGACTGGAAGGTTTGTTTATTATAGCTTAATATTTAATATTTTACCCACTGTAATCTTGACATGCCTGCAAGTTTACAAAACAGCAGGCCTATGAATGACGAAATTATCTGCTCTGATTAACTAATGAAGGGGGAGGAGGCACATGGTGGCAAAAAGGAAATCTCCCTGGGTTTGAGGGCAGACACGTCAGGTTGCTTCTTACAATCCTGATCACAAATCTGCAAGAGAGCGTCTGTGACTTCGGCACAAAGCAAGAGAGGCAGGGATCTGCACATCAACTGGTCGGAGAGAGCAAACCTCGCCTACAGCACAGTGAGAGTCTTGTCTAAATCCTGTGTGATTTTAACTCATAATTGTAGTTTTTTAGCATGTTGTGGATTAAAATTAAATTAATATGGTGAAAAATCAGATTCACTTTTGAGAGTCTTTAAGTTTCACAACTTCCTTTGTTAAGCTTATATTTTGACATTGTACCATTAAGAAGTCAGTATATTGTTAAGCTTATATTTTGACATCGTACCATTAAGATGTCAGTATATAAATCGTCACACGTGAAGATTTTTTTCTCCTAATATTAGTCTTTTAGCTGATTACGTTTGTTTTTCCTTAAAAATCCCTCTGACCTGTTAATAAAAAGCACAAATCTGCAACATTTGATCTTATTTAACAAATTCCCACGTTTGGACTCTATGTGATGGTGGAAATAATTTAAAAACAGACACCTGCACCTGTTTCGGTCACTGTCATTGTTTCCTGCATGCATGTGTTCCTGTGCATCCCTGAGGCAGCATCAGAGGACCATGGCATTTCTTGGGATGCTGAGTGATGAGGACATCAAGGCTGCAGTCCAGGCTTGTCAAGGTGAGTCAGACAGAACACACAACTTTGCATTCAAGAAGATGAGTGGAAAACAGACAACTAATCATAAAGAGCAGACCAAGTTTACTACACATATCCCAGCGGGAGCTAATCAGCTCACTCCTGAAGGGAGCACCTTGCACAGTGTGTTGTTCACATGGGGGACTCGTTTCCTGCAGGTTACCAGGCAGGTGTACAACAGGAGACTAACTAGGTACCAGAGTGCTTCCTTTGAGCGCCCTTGCAGAGGCAGCCAAATCACACAAGCTGTAGAAGTCCTTGCACGCTGAAGGGATTTAATTATTTATTTTTAACAATTATGTCTGCATGACAAGGCACATAAAGCTCAAATGCTTGCTCCAGTGAAAAGAAAATGTTAGCGCCATGTGTGCCCTTTTTGTCTGCTAGGGATGTTTTGGGGAAAAAAAACATAAATAAAAGTGCCCATAAAAGTTTTTTTAATGTTTCATCAAAACCTGATGATTTCTTTTGCAAATGTCTTTAATTTATTGCGTATGTTTTCATCCTATTAGATTTTCTACCCTTGGCAGTTTGATAACTAAAGAACATGTGTGCTTGCACTACAGCCATGGGCTGTTTTTCAATGTACTTCTGGTGTTTCAATAGCACAGCAACATCTCCTTTTATGTGCTCCAGGAAGTATGTCGGTAAATGCCATCGGCTTTAGAATGAAAGTCATCTGAGCGAATGACTAAAAGCGACATCTCTATTCAAACCCTTACCATTCTTTCTTCTTTGCCATCCACCGATTGACCTCTCGCTCCCATATGTCTGTTGCTCGTCCTCGCTCCAGCTCATTTTCTGTGTCTCCATCTCTTCCGATGTAGCCCCAGGCACGTTTGACTTCAAGATGTTCTTTGAACAAGTGGGACTGACTGGCTCGTTGGAGGCCGACAGGGAAAAAGTGTTCACGGTCTTGGACCAGGACCAGAGTGGATACATTGAAGAGGAGGAGCTTAAGTAAGGATGGAAAATGATGTTTTTTAATAAGCAGTCAATGTATTTCTCACTGTGTTGGGAGATTAGGCTTATTGCATCACAGAAGAGCGAAGAGAAGTTAGTTGATTCTCATTGAATTCATGTTTTCTGAAAAAAAATTCTCCAATTATTCATAATAAAATAAAGTAAAAACACAATAGTAAACATACATGTTATTATTAGCATGCTACATTGTGTTTAATTTCACAGCATTGAATCACACGTAACACATCATATCAAATCACATTATATAATTTTGTATCACATTGTGTCATGTTGTGCAGCATTGTATCAAAAAGTATCATAATACCAAATCACCTCAAATGACATAGCATCAAAAGGCAAAAAGGTAATTTATCTCATCATACCACATCATATTTTACTATATTATGAAGCAGCACATTCCCATACATTGAATAATACTAAACAATGTGACAAAATTCAATCAGTTTAAATGGCATCATATCGTCTTGCTTAGTGTCACATGGTTTCCCAGTACATAGCAACATGTGGTATAGCATCCTGTCACATTTCACGTGTGTCAAAGCGGTCTTACCCTTTGTTTCTAGTGTCAGTGGGATCTGCCAATAGCCCTTGTGGGTGACGGTGGCACAGGAGTTAAGTGCTCGCCCCGTATTTGGAAGGTTGCAGGTTCAAGCCCCACTCAGTTTGTCGCTGTCGTCCTTGGGCAAGACACCTAACCCACCTTGACTGCTGGTGGTGGTTGGAGAGACTAAGTAGTGCCAATGTTTGGCAGGCCTGTTAGCTAATAGAGGTGAAATGTCCAAGTATCAGGCAAGAAGACTCCAAGTTCTGTCATCTGAAGCTCTCTTCTCATATGGCTCACCTCTAGCTCCTGAAATGGTACACTGGAGCATATTTTCCCAGAGTATGACTTACAAGGCATTAATTCCTACTAGAGACCACTGCAAATGTGTTTATTAAACAAGTGTTTCTCACCTTTTATTCACCTGCTAGCTACTCAGAGAGACTGAGCATTAGTGTTTACAGTCCAAGGCGCATATGACACTACCTGGATGGACACAGAGCTTTTCCATCCAGCCACTTGAAGCTTAGCAGACCTGAACAGAAGCTGCAGCTCAGAGAGCAGAATGCATGTGTGAAGCCAAAAAACACCTTGGGGGTGTTTTTGATGAGGAGATAACAATACAACTTGTTCAAAAGTTCCAAAAAGTGGATGTTGCACGATAAATTCCATTTAACCCTCTGGAGGCAGGTGTTGCAGATTTGCAATGTTAAAACCTACCTACTGTGGAGGGGTAATTATTGTATGTATTTGGGTGCTTTTAAAGCTTAATATACTACTCTACACTTTGACCAATGTGATGTGAATTTCCATATAAATATGGAAATCCAGTCTGATGGGTTCTGGTTAAACCAGAAGATTTAGAATTCTTTGTTTATTCAGGGATTGTAGAACACTTCGTATTGATTCAAGAAGAGAGTCAGGTTAATAAAAAGTAAGAATTTATTTTCCAAACAATTAAAAACAAGACAAGTTAACTAATATTACTTTGATGGATGGATCTAGGAGGGTGGAATGTGATGTATGGTAACTATATGTGAATGTGATGTTATCAGAACTTTCATATCTAGAAGAACTGAGTTCTGGGTGTCTAAAGAATTGGTTTGCATTAAACTATGAAGTTGGTTCTGATCAAAAAGGCATCAGGCGCAACCTGTCATGTCTACGTTCCCCAAATGAAGACTCTTTTGGATCCGAGATGTCGGGGGGTCGGGTGACCCCAATGTACCGAAGTCCGTAGGAAAAACCGCAGTACGACCAGGTCAGTCGAGAGTCGTCTCCAGGTCGCGACAGGTTGGAACTAGTTTGCGTCTTGAATGGATTCTTAAGGAATCTTGCTGTGTCACCTTTGTTCTGCAGGAACTGTTTGCTGTGTCAGCGGTAGGCAGCTTTTAGCAGGGTTTTGACAGCTTGTCAAAATTGCTCTGGGTTAAAGACGTTTCGCTCCGGACGGCCGTTCCGTAGCTTTCTCTAGAACCGAGTCACCGTCTCGTGAGCTCTGTTTTAATATTCTCATATTATGAGTTCTTGTCCAATCGGAATGTGCCATGTTAAGGGATATTACCAAGAACCTCAGAACATCACGCCTTCTTTCAGATACCGGATGCTCTGATTAGGGGTAAAGAAATATCTATGTGTCATGAGTTTAACTTAACTTTAATGGACCTTGTGTCTGAGTGTAGGTGATGATTGCCTTGTCATATCAAACATCACTGATCATATAAATCATTCAATGTAATAATTCATTTCATTTCAAACTTTCATTAGTTCAAACACAGATTAATCAAAACATTATTGATCATTTCATATAACATTTGTTCTTTCCATTTCCCAATTGATTAACATATATGAGCTGAAAATAGTCACTCTTATAACAGTCCAGTCTGGCCTAGATAACCAGGCAGGCTTGGCACAGTAGGACCTTGAGAAGGGAACAGTTTGTTGACAATATGTTATCATGTGTTCCGAGCTGCAGAGAGGCCCGGACTCCAGCTGATGGAATGGCAGGATCCAGCAGATTAAAGGCCACAAATGTAGACTCCTGTCTCCATATGACCAAAAACTGAAGGGGTCAAACTGTACATGAAAAACGGACCATTTCTGGACATTACACCACCTTGTTACTCCACATAAGTATTTCATGAGCAGTTTTTAACTTAGAAGTACCCCTGAAAGACTTAGTTGTTCGTCCTTTTATCAAAAGTTATTTTGAGCCTTTCCACTGTCCTATCAGGACCCCGTCAGGACAGGAGGTGGTTAAACGGGGTTTAAAGTGTATCCCTTGGCTGGGGTGAAATGAAGCACCCCTCAATTTAAAAAAAAATAAAATTACACCAGTTGTCTATCTGACCCCATTAACAATGCGGGAGGGTTAACAAATTGCACAGTGTCTTGAAGCATATTGCATCACATAATCAATTTCTACATTGCATCAAATTGCATTTCATTTGATCATATTGCATTATTTTTTATTATATTGTACCATAAGCATCAGATTAATTTTTTTACATTTTGTTAAAATAAGTTGTATCCTAATTAGCTGCATCACATTATTTTTTTATTGTATCATGTACAATTTTGTTTTTGTTCATGTTGCATCATTTTAGGCTGTATAATTAAATAGTTTAAACTAATTTATTGCTTTCTCAGTTAGGTTTAGATTCAAGTACTGTGCTTGTCACTGAAATACCCCCAAACCCTAGTCACGTTTTTGTATTCAGGTTGTTTCTTCAGAACTTCTGTCCGGAGGCGCGGGAGTTGACTGTGGCTGAGACAAAGGCTCTGATGGCTGCAGGAGACAAAGACGGTGATGGCAAAATTGGGATGGAAGGTACATGTCTGTAACAGATCTGGAAAATGTTATTGGCAGATAAGAAAATGTCCCATTTGAACTGCAAATCAATAATGTACATTTTAAATAAACTTGCTTTGATGAGTTTGCATCCTTCTTCAATGAAAAAAATCACAAACATTAGATTAGCCATTCATTCCTCTAAATCAACTAACACAACCAGACCACTGACACAGCCACACAGCAACAACCTGGCCAGAATGCCAACGTTCACCCTGAGTAGTACTACAGCACTGAATGACGTAGTAAAGACCCCAAATTCCTTTACCTCCTGTCTGGACAGCCTGCCTACAAACTTCTTTAAAAATGTTTTTAGTTGCCTAAAAGCTGACATACTAAAAGTTAACTGCTCTTTAATGTCAGGAATTTTTCCTAAATCACTGAAAACTGCTGCTGTGAAACCCCTTCTGAAGAAGAGGAAATTAGATCCCTCAGTGTTGAACAATTACCGGCCAAACTCTAATCTCCCTCTGATTGGAAAAATCATTGAAAAGGCAGTAATGATCCAAATAAACAACTATCTAGAGTCAAATAACATTTTGGACAGTCTTCAATCAGGCTTTAGACAGTACCACAGCACAGAGACTGCACTGATCAAGGTATTAAATGACATTCATCTCAACACTGATTCAGGTAAAGCATCTGTCCTGATGATGCTAGACCTCAGTGCAGCTTTTGATACTGTGGACCATAACATCCTTTGGACAGACTCACAGACTGGGTGGGACTATCAGGCACAGCGCTTGGCTGGGTCTAGTCCTATCTCAAAGACAGGAGTTATGTTGTCTCTATTAGGGACTACCAAACAAAGTGGATTACCATGACATGAGGGGTCCCCCAAGGCTCATTTTTAGGACCACTACTCTTTAATCTCTATATGCTCTCCCTGGGTCAGGTCGTACTTAATAACAACATTGCCTATCATAGCTATGCTGATGACACTTGGATCTACATAGCCTTATCACCTAGTGGCTGTCGTCCACTGGACTCACTCTGTTAGTTCATAGAACAAGTAAACAACTGGATGAAGTCAAACTTCCTTCAACTAAACAAAAACAAGACTGAATTTATTGTCTTTGGCAACAAAAAGGATAGAATGGTTGTTATTGCTCAGCTGGACTCCAGGGGAATAAAGATGAAGACCCAGGTTAGAAATCTTAATGTTATTATTGACTCAGACCTGAGCTTCTCTGGACATATTAAGGCTACAACTAAATCAGCGTTTTATCACCTTCATCAAATATCAAGAGTCAGAGGTCTCATGTCCAGACCAGAGTTAGAGAAACTTATTCATGCTTTTATTTCTAGTCGGCTGGACTATTGCAATGGTCTCCTAACTGGTCTTCCCAAAAATGTTGTGAATCAACTGCAGCTTGTTCAGAATGCTCCTGCTAGAGTCTTAACAAGAACTAAGAGAACGGAGCACATCACTCCTGTTCTTAAATTGGTCTCGCTACCATGGGGAGCAGAGCTTTCAGCCGCTCTGCTCCTCGTCTCTGGAACTCACTTCCCCCAGACATCAGGAACATCGACAGTTTTACCCTTTTCAAAACAAAACTCAAAACACATATGTTTAAATCTGCCTACAACCTCTGATTTTATTGAACTGTTTCTCTCTTTGTTTTTTTTTTCTTGTTTGGGTTTTATTATTGTTTTATTGTATTTTATTAAGTGTTTTCTGTCAAGTGACCTTGGGTGTTCTGAAAGGCACTTTTAAATAAAATGTATTATTATTATTATTATTAAATCTCTACACTGGTTACCAGTAAACTACAGAATAGATTTCAAAGTGCTCCTACTAGTTGATAAATCACTTAATGGCATGGGGCCAAAATACATGTCCGATCTCCTTCCTGTATATACACCCAATAGGGCTCTGAGAACCCTTGTAAACAATCAGCTGGTAGAACCACGGGTCAGAACAAAACATGGTGGAGATGCATTTAGTTACTATGCTGCTCACATATGGAATCGGCTTCCCCATGACGTCAGATCTACCCCAATCCTAGTGTTGTTTAAAACTAAACTACAACCCCTAATGTACTCATCAGCCTTTACATTAATTGTTTCTTATGCTGCGTCATCTCTGTTGTAATCTACGCTGTAACTTTGTCTTCTCCTTTAACTCTAAACTGTAATTCTATCTGTGTGTATTTTAATTTGTGTTTTTATGTTGTTTTCATATCATGCCCTGATAATTGTGAAGCACACTGAATTGCCTCTGTGTTTGAAATGTGCTCTATAACTAAAGCTGCCTTGCCTTTATGTGACATTTGCTTCTAGTATGAAGGAAACTGATTCTTCTCCTCTTTGTGTTCCCCACAGAGTTCTGTGATCTCCTGAACTAAAGACATCAAACACACAAAGTCGCAACTGTTTCTTCCTGTTTTGTTTTGTATAATATGTCCTATGAAAGTCAAGTTTCCATAGTTTTATAGTAAAAAATACATCTAAGTAACTGTACCTGCATGCTGCTCGTCCCCATTTGATATTTCAACCAATTTTCACAATTGTTGGATGATAGCCTAAACTTGACACCAAATATTAATTATTTACTAATTTAATTGACTAATAAATGTATTTAAGTTGCAAAATCTCTTATTGTGATTTTTTTAGTTGTTTTCATTTGTTTCCACACATCTGTCAAGCTTCTTTCTGTTGATGGTTACTTAAAGAGTCAGATTTGCGCTGTTAACAATAAAAACCGACAAGTTCAAGGCTGTGCAGATGAGGAATTTAACAGGTAATATGTTCATGTGTGTGCTGTAAAAAGGGTTTAACTTCCTTTGGAGAGGACTTTGTTACCTTCTGGACCTTTCACATGAACAAATCATTAGTTACATGCTGAAAAAAGACTGAACTACAAAAGAAAAACGTTCAAAATAATATTCATTTAGTTAAACTTAACATCTCTTATCTACTTGTCCAGTCCCTTATTTTAATCTGAATTATAACCACTCACAAGTAAAAATCACAAACTCCATTTAAAAAAGGATTTCACCTCTAAATATTCTACTGGTCCAAGAATGAAAAGCATCCCCATGCTTCCCTTTTTAGGACTTGCACTTCCAGTACTGTACTGCTTCCTGTCTCTGGCTCTCAGATTACTGCTGATCCATTCAGTGGATCCATGCTTATCCATTCATCATCAGAAATGACAAAACTCCAGGAAAACAAGATGAATATCGGGAGGTTTACATTTTTATTAAGAGATGTAAGTAGGTACATGTGGCCGATGAATACAATTTATATAAAAAGGTGGCATAGTAATCTGTCAGAAAAACATGATATGTGACCAAACTGCCAACTTGCTAATCTGCAGAACGCCAAGGCGTGCAAAAAGGCCCAGTTCAAACGATTGGTGCATTCCCTACTAAGGACATGGACCTGGTGCTCCAGGCCCCAAAGTTCTGTCCCTGTCAGGGAGCCGGCGCATCTGAAACTTGACCCTGTGAGAGGAGGCTGGATGAAACGTAAAGATACTGTACCTTTGGGTACAGCTGTGTTCCAGGAAGAGCCTATAGGCAGAGTCCACACATATCTAAGCACTGAAACACGGTCTAACGACTTTATTCCCTTTATTCCTGACATCAGCAGTTTCCCCGTGGCTAAAGAGTTCATTTTTGTGAGGAAAAAGAAAACATTTAAAGCAGGGTGAGAAGTATCGGGACAGCACCATGACTGAAACCTGAAACTGGGACGTGGTGGTTGGTGCTCAGTCTGCTCATCATGATCTGGAAGAAGGAGTTTAATCATGACCTCCTCCTTCACACATTTCTATTCCACATTCTCACACATCAGTCATACCATGTAAATCAGCATTTTAGATGTTGGCTGTAAATCATAAAAGTACAGCATGTGCCATGAAGTGGGCAAGCAGTGGGCCCTCTCGAGTTTCCACACGTCTAGCTATAGGCCTCAGCGCACATGGTAGCATCCTCATTTGTTCACCTAAAAATAACTCCAGACCACTAGACACATTTTTTCGAAACCCGTGCATCTCGGTACCTGATACTGAAACTCAAAGCTCTGTAAATGGTGTTGCTCAAGGATATATAAGAGAGAGGGGGAAAGGGACTTCTGCATTCACTCAAGTCCGCCTTGGTTTTCACTCTCCTCAACGCAGCGCAAAGGTGAGTGGGATGTGCACCTTGTCGGGGCTCCACGGGCTTCTATCGGCAGATTACAGGAGGAAACCAAGAGTCAGATAGGAGGAGATCCCCCCTCTATGTGGACTACCAGCTGTAGGGAGAAACGGAGCTGACATAGCTGAGAAACGCACGGACCTGTGCAGGACGATTGAGTTAAAGCTAAAAGGGCGCCAAAAAGAGCCGTATTTGATCTCAGAGGATCCCCGCTGATGGATGACAATGTGTTTTACTCTAATTGTGTCTCTTTGATGGGATGAAATACACATTTGGCAGCAACGCATGCCCCAACTGCAAAATGTACTCGTGGGAAGTGATTCGTGCTTCTGTGATTCAGCCTCTCAGCGGGAGCATCATCTTTTTAGAGCACTTGCTCTGATCGACCACGACGGGTTGCAGAGCGGCTCCTCAGCTAGTAGTTAACGTGGCTGCTAAAGCTGCACGGCAAAACGGAAGTTAGAGCAGACGAAGCCCTGCTTGCATGACTTTTACCTTAAAACCCAAGGTTCTCTTTGGTTCACGGCCATTTAAAATACCAGTTTTTGTCATTTCATAGGTGTTTATATATTGTTCAGTAAGACGATTTCTTTGATTTCTATTCTAACCCTCTGCTTTGTCCTTCCAGCTCACTAAGAATAAAAAATGGCCTTCTCTGGTGTCCTCAACGAGGCTGATGTGAAAGCTGCTCTTGACGGCTGCGCAGGTGAGCTCCTACTTTTCTGCGCTCTCACTGGAACTTCCAGCACTGGGAGCAGAACGTGTTAGAGTCCCAGCTTCTGTGTCTCTGACTTGTTGGGAGCTAACAGAGTTGAACTGTGCTCTAGGAGCTGACTCCTTCGACTACAAGAAGTTCTTCCAGGCATGCGGCCTGGCCAGCAAGTCTGCAGATGAGGTCAAGAAAGCCTTTGCCATCATTGACCAGGACAACAGTGGCTTCATTGAGGAGGAGGAGCTGAAGTAATTAATTCAATATCATCTAATGTGACACTCTTGTGCATAAAATGTTCAGTTGACTTCAGTTTGATGGCTAAAAGCACATCATCTTGTCATGAGATATTTAGATATTGAGACATTTTGGCTAAAAGCTGCCAACATCCAAAGAGTCCTAAAGGGGTTTCAGCACCACCTAATGACCTTTTTCTTCCCTTCTTCAGGCTGTTCCTGCAGAACTTCTCCGCCGGCGCCAGGGCACTCACCGACAAGGAGACCAAGACCTTCCTCGCCGCCGGTGACAGTGACGGTGATGGCAAAATCGGAGTCGATGGTGAGTTCTTCAATGCTGCACTTTCCCACAAATCTCTAAATGCAAACAAGCCCATTGGAGATGAATTCTGCAGCTCTTTACTGAGAAGTGTTTAAAATAAACCACACTCTCATTTATGCCTTTATAGCATGCAACCTTTCCAGTTTTCCCACCACTAATGGCAGTTTTATTCTACTTTCACAGAGTTTGCTGCTCTTGTAAAGGCATAAATTCCCACAGACCAACATCCACTTCTTTTCATGGAACTGCGAGCTCCTTGCAAGATTCATTAATCGTCAGCTGAAAGAATATTTTTTATACCTTATTTATGAGTTGCCTGCGGACTATTTCTCAACATGGAAAACATATTTTACTGTGAATATCATTCAAATGTGTTATATGTTCAGAAATAATGACTTGTGCAAAAACTGTACACCACTCTTTTGCACTTGTGAGGAAGAGTGAAAAACCAGGAATAAATACTCATTTGGTGTGAAAGTGCTCTCGTGCAGGCTAATCTTTTTTTGCATTGGCTCAAATGGGAATTTCTAAAGAAAAAAAAACAATTTTTATTTGCAAAACTGAAAATGAAGCAACACAATGGTTCACTAAGAAAAACTGGAGCCTGTTTTCCATGGCTTTTGATCCCTTGGTGCGAAGCGATGCCTCAGATGACTTTCCCAGCACTTGTTCTCCTAATTGGTTAATGAGAAAGGGAGTGTGGCTGGACTTTAGCCAGGGGCTGGGAAAAAAAAGTGCTGGGAATAGCTCTAGGAGGGCTTTGCTCACATGCATCTAAGATCCAGGGAGCCCTGCAATAGATATCTGTCACACTTTGTGTAATTAGATGGTCCAGTCCAAGATCTATCCTTCCAACAAGTGCTGCATAATCAGCTAGATGATGTTCTGTAGCAGCGGGCAGCTATTAACAGCCTCTGTCTCATCAGCGAAACACACTTGGCTCTACACCGCTCAGCAAAGACCCGAGGAGTCCTGAAAAATGACTAATTTTTCCTCTATTTGAAAACGCAGCATGTTCTCTGTTAGAACCGGCTCTTTAAATCCACTCATTTAAAATAAAAAAGTCTAATTAAAAATCCAGTGAATGTCCAGAGCCTTATCAGGAATAAGTAAAACCTCAACCCTATCAGATGACAACCAGTGGCAAGATCAGAGCTATTTGCCCCACAGGACAGTGCTGCCACCTACAGGTCAAATTTAACAGTTTTATAATGGGCTTTAAACAGTTATCCTCTTAAACATTGTTTTAAAACATTTTTCTTAAGAGAATGGAAAAAAAAACACAATATTTTACATGAATTGATCACGAATCTGGACTAAAAAAGCACCACATCTCTCAAAAACATGCCAAAATGAAGGTGGGCTCCAAAATGCACAAATAAGTTCTTAAATAGAATAAGGAAATGTATTTTTAGTTGACAAATATGCCTGTCAAATATTACAAATTCAAGCTGGAGTGGAGTGTCCCTTAAAGCAGCACATTTCATGCAGTTTTAAAGATATTTTGCACATTTTCTCCAATTTTAACTCAATACTTGAAGCAAATTTTTCAAATGTGCCTTTGAAATCAGCAGAGGGAGATGTTAAATGTGGGAAAACAACCAGTTTGTGCCATTTACACTATCCCCAGCACATGCCTGCTGAATATATCCACCCTCTGGAACATCATGTTGCCAACAGCACTTCCAAATCGCCCTCCTCAGCAGTGCACGGGGCCTATTCTTAGCACCGAGGGACATTAAAGACTTCTTCAAACGCACCTTTTAAGCGTCTTGGGTTTGGAAACTTAAAATAGACCGCTCTCTCTGGCTACAGGACGCAGTTTTTCACGCCGAGCCCTCCCCCTTCCCCTTTCCTCCCCCACGCTTGGTGTCGGTTATCTTTTGCTTCAGATTTCCATGGAGTGATAGTATAAAAAGGTCACCGGGAGCACCAGGATGGTCACTGCAGTCGACTCCAGTCTTGTCTGTGTCATCTGTACCCTACAAAGCAAAAGACACCAGAGGTGAGTCTGAACAGAGAAGAATGGAAATTTTAAAAAGAAAATTTTTAGGATCCAAAGCTGCAGCATCAACATTTTGCATCCTGGAGAAACAAAAATGATCTTTTAGATTTGCTGGAGACTTCTTTCTGCACTGCAGCATTTAAAGAAACAAACAGTTTTTGCATCTTCTTGTGGGAGCGTAAGCGGAAAAGAGAGAGAGAGAAAGAAAGAGCGTGGATTACTGATCAGCATCTTTAGAGTTGCAGTAAGAAAAAATCTGCCTGTATCAGCTGTGAGAATGGAAGCAAGAAATGCAAAACCTGCAAAACCCTCCCTGAGAAGTGGACTGATTCAGCCATGGAGCTTTTGTAGTCTGATTTCTGACCCATTTGGATGAATGTAGGCAGCTCTTTGAGCCTTTTAACAGATCACTGTGATTGGAGTTGTCTTTGGTGAGTAACATGACGCTGATAATCAAAAGTAATCCATGATTTCTGGTATTCCAACAGATAAAAATGGCTTTCGCAGGTGTACTGAATGATGCTGACATCACTAAAGCCCTGGATGAGTGCAAAGGTGATTCACTTGCCCTCTGTTTTAGTTAATGCACTCTGCATTGTTTCCTTCCTTGTCAGTGACAAAATCTGTAACGACTTGCAGGCGCTGACTCATTCGACTACAAGAAGTTCTTCAAGACATGCGGTCTGGCTGGAAAGACCGCCGATGATGTCAAGAAGGCTTTCGCCATCATTGACCAGGACAAGAGCGGTTTCATTGAGGAGGATGAGCTCAAGTAAGATTTATGTTCAGAGGCATGAAACCCTGGAAGTGCCTGATTTTCTGGACCTTCGATTGACTTGTCAAGGACCAGTGTTTTTCAGCCATTATTGGCACTAAATGTTATACTGCTAGACACCTGAATGCCTCCTAGTGGATGGTTGCGGTATACACTTTAAACCCCACCTCCTCCATCTGAGGTGGACGCTGTTCTGACAAAAAAACATATTCAGTGACAGGAAGTGCAGAAGCTTTGGTTATAAACTAACTCCGCCTCTTTCTGCCTTCAGGCTGTTCCTGCAGAACTTCAGCGGAGGTGCCCGTGCACTAACCGACGCTGAGACCAAAGCTTTCCTGAAGGCCGGTGACAGCGACGGTGACGGCAAGATTGGTGCTGATGGTAAGCTGATCCCCCTCCTTCCCATCATGCACTGTATCTAAGCCCCCCCCCCCAACAGCAAATACCAACCATGCGTTTATTGTCCCTGCAGAGTTTTCTGCCTTGGTTAAGGCATAAAGGCAGCACCTGACCTGACCAACAACCACCTCCTGCTCTGATGGAACAACAAAGCCCACATAGACCTCCCTCTTTTCATTTGAATTTAAATAACTTTTATACATTTGCTTAAGGGACGTTTCCTCCTATATGCAACACACTGTCCAAAAGTGATGATTGTGAATGTAGCTCGGTTGTGTTCATGTCTTAAATATGAATTTTGCTAACTGTAAAATCTATAATGCACTTTCCAGGAACTAAATGTAAAAGAATAATAAATATTCTTTTTCTGTGGTCAATTCTCTTTGGTTGGATTTTATTTGATTAGTTTTTGGTCAGAAAAAATAAACCATGAGACACAAACCATAAATAACCTAGAAAACATATCTATTCAGTCATTTCTGTGTTTGGGTGGAAGTCTATACTTGGATTCATTTGCTTTAACTTTAGTAATAATCACTTCTTAAGACTGAATTCTAATAAACCTTTATTCTATTAAATAGAGGCTAAAAAATCATCAGCCTACCCGAATACAACCTGGAAAAGAGCAGGGCCATGTTCTGTTGTGTTGTTTCAGCTTGTAGCCACTAGGTGGAGACAAACTACTGCAACCAAACCTGTTTTTTTTTTTATTATTATATTTTTTTACAACCATGGATCCAAACCATCGACATAATATACGTGGACACTTTCTTTCCATAGGCTCCAATATCACTTTTTTGAGGCCAAATGGGAGGTGGCCACCACCGCCATTTTGACCGTGTCACAGGTTCCGTCAAGCCCAGACAATTCCATCAAAGGGAAGAGAGGAGGAGCTGAGGGTGGGGCTGTAAGGCTGGGATCAACTGACGACACCCGGTAGAACTAGCTACAAGCTAACCTGAAGCTAACCCAAAGCTAACACGGAGGTGGGAGCTAGGCTAACGGAGGTAGCAACCTAGCTACAACCGGAGTTAACTGTGCACAACACCAGAGCTTCTGAGTCAGAGATACGCCGGGCTGACCGCTGGGTAAAACCGGGTGGAACACAGAGGTCTCCGAGACCTCCACAAGCCGGCAGCCGCACAGCAGACAAGCACCGCTGCGATCTGAGATGCGCAGAGCTGCCGCTGGGGAGAACCGGGTGGAAAGGTTTCCATCCCAGAGCTCCACAAGCCGACAGCCTGCGCATCAAACAGGAGCCGCGATCAGACAGAAATGAGCAGAGCTGCAGGGAGAAACAGCCGGCATTCCGCGCAGCAAACAGAAGCCGCAAAGCCAGGGGAGAAACGGGTGGAAAACATCGGTATACCGAGAGCTCCACAAGCCGATAGTCGGAACCCAGCTCCACCAACATGTTATATTTCAACCCATTTTCTAAAGTGCAGCATTATGTTAAATGCACTGAGTTTTGCCCTATTACATTTAAATTTCATGGTTAAACAGTACATGTTAAAATCTAAGCTCAGCTCGGCAGTGCCCTAAAATACATAAATATAATTTTACTTACAGAAAAAAATGAAGTGGAGACTCCTTGGATACTCTATTAGTGCAATTAATGCCACAGCAAGTCATTTTGTCCAACAATTGCACAAAAAATATCCAAAAAAGAATACACACACACAGAAACTCAAAATCCCGGAGCAGTTTCCAAGCCAGACCGAGGCTCTACTGAGGCCTTTCCACGGAGCTAGCTTTGTGGTCACGTGGGTCGGATGCTCATTAATTATAGAGAATTTTAGGCTTTTAATACACTTAAACAGAAGAGTGAGAAAAAAATTCACCCCCCTCAGAGTTGTCGTGAGTGTAAACTAGATCATTTAAACAAAAAACATGTTCTGGTACCAGGCTGTAAACATGTTTATTTCTGCTGTGAAATTGGTATTTTTAACATGGGAGTCAATGAGGATTTGCTCGCTTCTGACACCAGCCCCCAGCGGATGAGGGTGGAACTGCAATTTTTGGTACTTCTGGGTTTGACTCAATTTTAGAGCTCCGTTGTGGGGGCTTGATTCTATGGCGTTTAAAGCGTGCCACAACCCGTGCACGCGCATTGGGTCCACAGCGCGCGTGTGAACGGGACTCGCGAGCGCAAATATACATGGCAGCGCGCGTGTGAACGGGACTCGCGAGCGGAAATATACATGGCGAGAGGTCATTTGTGCACTGAGCGGGAGCAAACTGTGTCTGTGAGCGCACAAGGATGTGCACAAGTGACAAACCTGCGTGCGCGCGTTGTCAACGAGCACACGGCAGAGGAAAACGTGCGCGCGCGGCAGCCTCTGCGCGCTCGGTTTCTGACTCCTGCTCGCTCGGCTGTAAGGGCTTTTGACACTCTGGAGGCGTGGCCTGTGGCAGATCTTCTCTGTCCTCTGATTGGTTAGTTTACCCCGCACTTTACCCTCTATCTATATAAAAAAGTCTGACATTCAGTAGTTGCTGGCATAGCTCAGCTGGGAGAGCAGGTGCCTCTCGCCTCGGAGGATCCAGGTTCAAGTCTGGGCAAGGAAAATGCAGTAGATGTCATGTTAATTTTTCTTAATTTCAGGTATTTTACAGTTGTGACCGTTCAACTGTCATTAAACGTCCGAATGTTTGCTGGGCAGTGTTTTAAAAAGTGCACATAAGCTAGATGGTTTTAACCATATAAAATTACATTTTTTGTGATACTGGAAAAATACATACTGAAATAAAACTACTGATTGAAAACTTTATGACTGTGGTTGTACAATATATGACTCACTAATACACTGCAAACTCCCTTAGAGTGGGGCTTCCAGAGAGAGAGAGAGAGAGAGAGAGAGAGAGAGAGAGAGAGAGAGAGAGAGAGAGAGAGAGAGAGAGAGAGAGAGAGAGAGAGAGAGAGAGAGAGAGAGAGAGAGAGAGAGAGAGAAAAGTTCTTGCCTCATTAATGAATTGTTTATTTTTTTCAGTATTTAATTGACAAATTATCCTTTCAAATAATTAATTGATGAGTTACATAATTGTCCATTTAGAATTGTTGAATGGACTGAGTCAAGTTTGGTGCACTTTATATATTTCAAAACATGTTTTTTTTATTTTAATGATGCATATAAATAATTTAAATGTTAATTTAATGAAATATTTCTATTTTTTCATTACCTCACCCTTGTTTTGACAAAAACGGGACCTTGCTGGATAATATCATGGAGAAACTATTTGCTCACAGTACTTGGCTCAGTGAGGATCTGTGTACCAAAGGAGGAGATACTCAGAAATCTGTCTGCAGATTGTTACAACCCAGACTGGAAGTGGTGGGCTGTAATAAGAAAGGAGACCAAACAGAGGAGTGGGGGTTCAACAACTGATTTATTTAACAAAAGTAAGGATTTACTAAAGCAAGTTAGTGAACCTCACTGAGCCATGTACTGTGAACAAATAGTTTCTCCATGATATTATCCAGCAAGGTCCCGTTTTTGTCAAAACAAGGGTGAGGTAATGAAAAAATTGAAATATTTCATTAAATTAACATTTAAATTATTTATATGCATCATTAAAATAAAAAAAACATGATTTGAAATATATAAAGTGCACCAAACTTGACTCAGTCCATTCAACAATTCTAAATGGACAATTATGTAACTCATCAATTAATTATTTGAAAGGATAATTTGTCAATTAAATACTGAAAAAAATAAACAATTCATTAATGAGGCAAGAACTTCTCTCTCTCTCTCTCTCTCTCTCTCTCTCTCTCTCTCTCTCTCTCTCTCTCTCTCTCTCTCTCTCTCTCTCTCTCTCTCTCTCTGGAAGCCCCACTCTAAGGGAGTTTGCAGTGTATTAGTGAGTCATATATTGTACAACCACAGTCATAAAGTTTTCAATCAGTAGTTTTATTTCAGTATGTATTTTTCCAGTATCACAAAAAATGTAATTTTATATGGTTAAAACCATCTAGCTTATGTGCACTTTTTAAAACACTGCCCAGCAAACATTCGGACGTTTAATGACAGTTGAACGGTCACAACTGTAAAATACCTGAAATTAAGAAAAATTAACATGACATCTACTGCATTTTCCTTGCCCAGACTTGAACCTGGATCCTCCGAGGCGAGAGGCACCTGCTCTCCCAGCTGAGCTATGCCAGCAACTACTGAATGTCAGACTTTTTTATATAGATAGAGGGTAAAGTGCGGGGTAAACTAACCAATCAGAGGACAGAGAAGATCTGCCACAGGCCACGCCTCCAGAGTGCCAAAAGCCCTTACAGCCGAGCGAGCAGGAGTCAGAAACCGAGCGCGCAGAGAGGCTGCCGAGCGCGCACAGAGGCTGCCGCGCGCGCACGTTTTCCTCTGCCGTGTGCTCGTTGACAACGCGCGCACGCAGGTTTGTCACTTGTGCACATCCTTGTGCGCTCACAGACACAGTTTGCTCCCTCTCAGTGCACAAATGGCCTCTCGCCATGTATATTTCCGCTCGCGAGTCCCGTTCACACGCGCGCTGCCATGTATATTTGCGCTCGCGAGTCCCGTTCACACGCGCGCTGTGGACCCAATGCGCGTGCACGGGTTGTGGCACGCTTTAAACGCCATATAATCCAAACTGAAATAGCTGGATCTCCTCTTGAAAGGCTACCATTTCTGCCACTGTCAGTCTCTCTCTCTCTTTATATATATATATATATATATATATATATATATATATATATATATATATATATGTATGTATGTATGTATGTATATAGTCTCTTACAGTTTTTACCATCCAGAAACAATATTACACCATATTAAGGTTGAGCACTAGAGCCAAGCAGAAATCACCTGCTTGTGCTGCAGCCTGTTTCCCATTAAATGTGTCCATAAGCTCATCCAGTGTTTCCCCTACATAGGTTCGGGCGTGGCGCTGCACTTTAGCTGAAATTCCAGCAACACACCAACGAGATTCACCCCCTCACACACAGCGCGCCACGGCTGGAAAAAGGAAACACTGTCATCTATTGACTGATACTTGCTAACGTGTGATTGGCCATTCCTGCCACCTGTGTACTTGGCAGTTCTGCATTTCTGACATTGCATAAAACAGTTTCTAGGCTGTAGTTTTATACATATGTTTTGTATGCTTAAAGATCCTTTCCCCGGTCCTCATGCCGGTGGTGTCCCCTCGGTTTGAACTGCAGCAGATCAACCTTTTATTTTTGTTGGCAAAATATCTCCTAAACCACTTGTAGGTTTAATGAAACCTTCAGAGAGGTGTCTGCGGGGGAGTGTTTACCTGCGAACCAGAGGTTAGTGGTTTGTGGGACTAGACGAGCACAACAGAAATGCAGTTCAAAACATTTTTCTATAACTTATATTGAATTAACCTCTTTTTCAGAAACCTGCCCGCCACCTTTTGCCATACAGAGGTGAGAAAACAGCGATCTCCTCCTCTACTTTTACACCATCAAATGGCAAAACTCGAATACAGCATTAAATTAATCATTGCCCAGTAACAATAGAGTCAGGGAGGTATCACCAGGACACAACATCATGCACCAGTTCTTGATAAACAGGCACCACTACCTAGAATCCAGCGTCCTTTTTTCACACAGACAGGATTAGTTTCCGTTTACCTTCTCAGTTTGTTCCATGCCCCACTATAACACTTTAGAGCAAACACTGCAAGTTAGGATACCCTGCTGACAACTGAATGGGGTAGACACTTAGCTATGCACCAGATGCATGCGTCTACATAATAAATGTGTTTAAGTCAGGCTGTGCAAAGGACTGGCAAACTGAGTGAACAGATTAGTTCCCTTTTTACTCCTAACGTTCACCATTACTTTTTATTTTAGGAGATTGAATTGCTACAAAAAACAATCAAGTAAAAAAAGTTTTTTGGTATAAAACAAGAAAAGTCCTGGAATAACAGAGATGTGTGAGTGATGAAGAACTCTGGGTGTCATTGTGCAACCATAAAAAATCTGTTCACAACTGGTGTATTAAAACAGATTATCCCACCATACAAAAAGGGAGACAATAAACTTATCTGCTCATGTCTCAAATAAAAGTTTGTCTAAAGTTGACTCCATTTCTAAGCTGACACCATCTTTGTAGTTTTTCCACCACAGCTCTGGTGCTAAGCCTGCCCAAAAGGTCTTTTCCCAGTACTTGCGCTTCCATGCTTGAGCCCCTCAGTAGCGAGTTCCCATCCAGGAGTGTGAGTACATAGGATGTCCTGATTCTCAAGTGTGGACCTTGGCTCTGCCCCGTCCCCCTTCGCCAAAACCTGCATCAGTGTGGACTTTGGTGAAGGGTGTGTGTTCTCTATTGGATAGATGCATTGCAGAATTGTTCAAAATTGTTGTTAAATTGCCGGTGTTTATTTTCAGATATTAAAGCCAGCATTTTAATCACTTGTTTTAATATCATTCAGTTTTATTATCATTTCAAGTGAGAAATTACCCCTAAACAGCAACCGGCTTCCCATTTAGGAAGTTGCGGAGAATCTACACGGTGACGCAGGTGGATCACGCTATGCTCACTGTCCCGATTCTGCATTTGTTTGCACATTTTTTCTATGCATTCGAAGCCTTACACACACTTCCACTAGTGCATTTCACAGAGCACCATAGAATGCATTGTAGACATTGGGATTGGGCCATCTTCTATTCACAAACATAGAGCACTGTGATTGGTCAGACCGAAAATTGTTGGGGACAATGGTAGACCTGCTGAGGCTATAATGGAGCATGACTAGACCGACCTGCAGAGAAACATTTTTTGCTACTACTTTCACGGCTAAGTGTGGGAAATAGGATTACATCTTTGGCTCTATGGGAAATAGTTGAAGAGATTAAATAGAGAACATGAAGTTAGAGTAATTATAAAATGCATGTGATTCCAAAGACCCTATAATATTAACCAATTAACTTCAAAAGTATTGTATCTGGGTGTTGTTAGGTCAAAAGTTATTTAAACAACAGAAATCAATTTGCACAGATAAATGGCAACAAGTCAGCATTGCTTGGTATTGCTTGCAGAGATCCACAGGGTCTGTTTTCAGTCCAAAGCTATTTCTATTACACATCAATGACAGATGGCCATCGAGTGATCCAATTAACCATTTTTAAGAGGTGGATGAAACTCTGGGACCCACTAGGTCTATGTGCACGTTGTCAAAATGGCGAAAAGGGATTGGGAGGGGTTGCGAGGGTTCCCAGGTGTGCCACGGATCTAGAAAAGACCGGCAGTTTGTAGACAATGGATGCAGTGAAATAGCAGTTACCCAGAAAAAAATCTGAAATAGGGTGTGGCCACTTCTTGTTTCTACGCACTTTACTTATTATCCCATGAGTGGCTAACAAAGGTGGTTGTCACATATGAGAAACCTACTCCCTTTATCTGATGCATCGGTAGTGAAAGTCAATGAGGTGGAAGAACATTCAGATATTTACATAATTCTGAACTAGCCGTCTATTCCTGTAGGCTGCCACGATATAATTGAACTTTGGGTAATTCCCAAAGAGAAACTAGCTTAAAATGTGTCCGAAGATCAGCAGATGGATGATGTACCTGGACCTGATTCAGGTACTTGCTGGCATTTTTCACAGTTTAGCTCCATCCGTCACCAAAGGGTGAGAAATAAAGTTTTTGCCTGCATCTGTGCATGTGAGCGTTTGCCTGATTAGTTAATCTATCTCATGAACAACTTAACAGTTTTCAACTGAACTTTCAGAAAGTAATCACTGGATGTGGACCTATAACCAGTGAAGTCAACTTTAGCTAACACTAAAACAAGCTAATTCTTACAGACGTTGAGCTAAAATGTCGTGTTAGTGGCAGAGAAACAATGATGATCAAAGAGATCAGGAGTCTCAATGAGAGGAATGACACAAATGATTAAAGTGACACGTGGCTCTAACTAACAGAGTTTAGGACTCCCTTTATCAGTTCGGTTTGAGCGAAGGTTCAACAGCTAAAATCTGTTGAGTGGGGCAAAAAACTGCTAAACAGTCCAGTGACGAGATCACTGAAACAATACAGTCACCTATTTACTCCCAGATAAGGATAACTGCTTCTATGTCTTGAGATAGAAGAAAAGTTTCCACTGGTCAGAGGTCAAGATGTCCTTCTTCATGATACTTTTACACTGAGCCCACAGCATGAATAAACAACATGTATTAAGCTTGAACGTTAAAACTCCTGGTATAAGAGTCAATCATCACGCATAATCTGGATGCTGACGGATCGAGCATGATCCTGCAGCATAACAAGAGATCACGCATGATGGACGTTGCCTTCCAAATGTGACCAAAATGACTGCATCATTTCTCAACATATGATGATTTAAAACTTGGAATGAATGGTGGATATGCAACGATTTTTAAGTGAGCTTATTTCAATTATATGACTTCTGATCAATTGTTTCTTTGCAGAAATGTATTTAGATCCTATTCTTATTCCACTTCTTGTTCTATTTGTATCAAAAAAGCACATCATACAATCAGAGAGTACAAGAATTGAAAAAAAGACCCCAAAAGACAAAAAAATAAAATAAAATATAATAAATAGAATAACCACAGAAAAACCTAGAAAGTGAGACCACAATAAATTTGCAATACAGTTTTGTAGAAACACATCAACTTCTGTGTTATTGCCTTTCTTATGTTTTATTCATAATTTTAAAGTTTAGAAGAATCTTTATGCACATGCAGTGCAACATTTCCTGGTTTTCTGCTTCCAAGGTTAACAAACACATGCGTGAAGTGACCAAAACCATCAGATACTATTGAAGACACCACCAGGCGTTTGATTCCAACTTGTGCATCGTACATGTGGAAAGCCCTGATTTCAGCAGTAGATAATTATCCAGTTTTGTGTGAGATTGGGCAGCTGTGGCCTTCAGAAAAGTCCAAATAAGCACAAAATGATCCAATAGGTCAAATGATGCAAACAAAAGCACAGAACCTGTTCTGTTGAACTGGAGCGAACATTTGTGCGTCGTCATCATCACCATCATCATCATAGGACGGTTGAGGGTGTCACTTAAGCTTCACAACAGACTCAGCATTTTAGAGAACACACACACACACACACACACACACACACACACACACACACACACACACACACACACACACACACACCCTCTGAAGGTTAGAAAGCACCGGAGACCCTAATCATCGGATCTCCCTGCTCTCTGAGGAGGGACAGCATAACTCAAGATGAGTCGGCACACTGCCTTCTACCTTCATGACTCTGGAGGGGAGATGAGAAGAAGGTGATGCAAGACAGAGAGGAGGATACATGGGTGGGATTTTAATTTTTTTTACCTAATTAGATATTTACAGGCGCACCGTGTCCACGTTCCGGTCTCGCTGCCTCTGGGTGTTACATAAATAGTAGCTAAAGGTTAATTAGTTAGCTGAGAAATCGGATCAGGGGCGGGCAGTCCGAACTTGATCCATACTCAGGTAACTGAAGCGATCCCTTTTGTCTGAGGAATCAGACCTATATAAACCCACCTGGACAGACCGTCAGCACCACATCGCCTCCTACCCCTCAGCTGGATCTCAGACGTGGAAGGAACCTTCTAAAGACAGTAAGTTTATTTAAAGATGTTAGATTTGGACTTTTCAATACTTTTGTTTATTTGATGCTCCTGTGGGAGCTTTTTGCTGACTCAAGAGTAAAGTTCTTGCAAATAACTGAATATTATTACTCAACATTCTACTGTAGGTGTGACTTTTCTGAGTTTTTCTTGCACCCGCAAAATAAAAGTGTTAATAATTTACCGCTTGTTTCTCCTACAGGAATAAAAATGTCCATCTCATCTGTCCTTAGTGCTGATGCCATCAGCAGTGCTCTGAAGGAGTGCCAAGGTATCATTTACACTGGTGACCGTACAGCTGGAGGTTATACGATTAAATATGGGGGGAGGAATAAATGCACAGATTTTTTATTAAAGGGTTAATTGAATTTTTATAGCATGAATCAAAGAGATTTCAGATTTGATCTTGTAGTTAAAGTTTAAGGTTTTATACATAATTGGTGCATTCAGCTAATTGTTTTCTGTAGGGAATGTTTTCTCAGTAATTTAGTTAGAAATAAAATTTCTTTAGAAATTTAAGACATTTTAGCCAAAAATTAAGCAACCTCTTTTTTCATCCTGATTTCTCCTCATGATGCAGGTCCTGACTCCTTCTGTCCAAAGAAGTTTTTCCAGAGTTGTGGTCTCAACAAGAAAAGCCCCCAGGAAGTGAAAAAGGTTTTTGGGATCCTAGATAATGATGCCAGTGGTTTTATTGAAGAGGAAGAGCTAAAGTGAGTGAGCCAGTCTGACAGGAGACTTAACCTCTGCAGATGTGGGGATGCAAACATCCATCTTAATTTGAGATGTGGAAGGAAATTTGCAAATTATGAGTAAATATTAACATTTTACAAGAAATGCATGCCAGCTGATATATGTTAAGATTGTCAAATGCTGCTAATTGTGTCAAACTTGAAGATTTTGTCTTGCACGCTGGATTCATATCAAGACCATCTGAATGCTGAGCTGGTTGAAAGTTTATCGTTCTTCTTTTTCTGATGGAGATGTGGTCTCCCTTATGTTTCCTCAGATTTTTCCTGCAGAGGTTCTCTCCTGGAGCTCGAGTGCTCACGGAGAAGGAGACCAAAGGCTTCATCAGTGCCGCTGATGATGACGGTGATGGTCAGATTGGAGTAGAAGGTGAGAAGATCTGCCTTTTTTAAAAATTTGTCATTAAAAAGAAATCCAAAGAAGAAACAGGATTTGTTAGAGCTGATGGAATAATGTGCATGTTGTGTAAAGTGCATTTAACTCAAAAAAACCTTCTTTTCTCTACAGAATTCACAGCCATGGTCTTATCAGCTTAATAGCTGAGAATCAGACCATTTTAATCCAACCCCATCCTTTCCACTGACCACTTCAAGGCCTCTTAATTTGGTTACGCAACCTCCATCCAAAAAGCAAAAACTCATTTGGGAAAACTCATACAAGTTTGTCATGTTTTCAGTTCTTTTATTTTTCACGTTTCACACCAGCCTTAACGCTGTATTGCCCAAAGAAATGTCCACCTGTGCAAATTAAAGAGAAATTAAATGCATAAAAACCCCATTTGATGTTTGCGACTGTTTCTTTGAATTTTGCGTGCTTGATGTGAATGCAGGACTTCTAATTCATTATTTAGAAACATCCACCAGCAGAAACGCAGAGTTTCACTCACAGTTCAGGGGTGTCCTCAAATCTACAATTATCCTTATCTAGCTTGGAGGTAAAAGAGATAGGATGTTGGGCAAATGAGAAGCAACGTAGGTGTTTGTCTCTACTGTACAGGTGTGTGTGTGTGTGTGTGTGTGTGTGTGTGTGTGTGTGTGTGTGTGTGTGTGTGTGTGTGTGTGTGTGTGTGTGTGTGTGTGTGTGTGTGTGATAAGGACAGAGATATCAGAGATCTATGGATGTATAGCACCAGGGGCAGGCATAGAGGGGTGACCTTGCTGACCACCTGAGAGTCACTGTGGTTGGATCGAGTGACACCTGACTTCAGCATTGTAAATAAACCCAGAGAGAAACACACACACACACGCACACGCGCGTGCACACACACACGCACACACACACACACACACACACACACACACACACACACACACACACACACACACACACACACACACACACACAGCATTGGCAAAAATCAAACATGAGTTGAGGCACAGAAAACCAAGAATCACTCAGATAAATGTACCTCTGGGGAACGTTATTACGTCTGAATAAAGGCTTGCTCAGACTGAGGAATAATTCCCTCGTTCTCCATGCAATTGCCCCCTTTTATAAACAGCACAGAGTGTTTTTATGTCTTGTGCTCACAGGATTCCAGGGATTAAAATAACAGCTGCCTCAGTCCTCTTCCACCTCAAAACACAGAGTAGCATTTTTCAGAGCTTCCATTTCAGTGTCATTTAGTTTCTGCGTAGATTACAGGTAGGAACCTGACTATTACAGCATGCACCTGATGCTTCAAACCACCGTGTGGGACATACCCTGACATTAGCATGAGATCACGGTCACCAAAACAGATTATGCAGCCATGCTTTTTGCTGATTCCCTCTGAAAGTTTGCAGAGGGAATGCATGCTTTATTAGAGGTTTTACTGACTGCTCTCATGCTGCAGTCGACTCAAAGTCTACATTTTCTAAACAGTTGATACATTTGCAGTGGTCTAGTAGGAATGAATGCCTTGTAAGTCGCACTTGGGGGGGGTGGGGGGTGGGGGTGGGGGGGGGGAAGGTCTGGTGCAACAGGTTCCGCACAGTGGGGGAAGTAGATGGCAGGATTTGGAGTCTTACTTCCTGAAATTTGAGCATATTTTCTCTGACTGGCTAACAGCAACATGACTCTATCACTGACTTTGTTTGCTTTGAAATGTTGATGTTTTTTCTCCACAAATAACACGAGCCTGGAGGAGTTCTGCTTTGTGATGAAGTTGCTAACGCTAACAGTTAGCTTCTACTAGCTAGAGATGTTCTCTGTTGTTTCCTGGACGTAACAGGTGTTAAGTGACAGTGTGGTGTAGATCTATCAGGCTTTCAAATTTTATTTATCAGAAGCTAACACAGGAGATAGATGTAGGACACAATTTTCACATACCGGTAGATCAAAACACACAGAGCTAAGGATCATTTTCAGAAACAATAGGTAAAAAAATTGCTTCTCAGTGACGAACCTCTTTAACACACAGGCCTAAACAGTGGCACTCAGGGTAAAAGTGATCTACTTTGTTTGCAAAAGCCTCTAACTGCACCAAAACATTTAACATAAAGCACATTTTATGTTTCAAACTGTGTAAAAACCCCAAATTCTGTAAAAATTTCAGACAATACATGTAAACCAAAATTCTATCATAGAATAAGAAGTTAAGAAAATGCATATTAAATCTTTATAACAATGGAGTTTGGACTACTTCAATGACTTCTGTGTTAGGATGTGGAAAATGTGTCAAACTGATAAGACATGGTTAACACTTTTGCAAGAGGTGTCTGCTGCTCTGCTGATGATGAAAACTGAGTGGATGCCAGTTTTATTAGGCAGGTCAAATCAAACATTAAAAAAACCTTTAGTGCATTTTCTTGAGTTAAAAAATCAAATAGAAGGAATAATGGTGCTTTGAGGCAAATATTTAAAGGTATTTAAAGGTCAGGTTCACTGAGAAATGTATAATATGTAAAGATATTATAATATTTTTAAATATTGGTTGCTCTGAGTTTCACATGCACTAGGCTGTACATGAAAATAGTCTTCTACCCTTAATTATTTCCTGCATTAGCCGGTGATAGTAAATAGAACAGTAATAAGAAAAATTAAAGCAATTAGGTTAGAAAAAGCCATCTTGGCTCAGGATGTGGAAGGTTGTGTTGAATTTGCAACCAGGAGAGAGCAGAGCGTATCTCAGCTAGAAGCTAACTGTTAGCATTAGCACAACATGGCAGAACATCGACACTGCTTTTTCTTTCAGTGCGCCTTAGGGTAGCTGTGGCTACAATGTAGCTAAACGTATTTTTGATCTGTGAGCATCAGAAGCCTCTGATGGTCTTTCGTTTTCCGTGAATTCAAATGATGTTTTTCATTTTGGGAATCTGCTATTTTGTCTTAGCAGCCAGCTGTTTCTCCTTCTCCGACATTATTGAGCGGAGAACCTCTCACACCAGTGGTGCTCTGCTGCAAAATGTGCAGCCCAGATAACTGCCAAGGGGCAATCTCTGGATGCCAAAAGGGAAACCCACACGAAAGTGCAGTTCCCCCCCTCATTCACTAGGGGCTGGCTCTAGACAGGAGCAAGTATCCATCAGCTTGTTTTGGAGATTTGCAACTGTAGCTTTAACAGAAAGAGAGAATACAAGAAATTGGCCTCAATTCCAACAAAAAGAGAAAAAAAGAACTGAAATAACCATTCATCCATCATGCTTTTCCATGCTGGGCTGTGTGGGGTTGTGCCTATCTCCTGCAGTCCAGGAAAATGGGCAGAGTACACCCTGGACAGGTTGCCAATCCATCGCAGGACTCAAACAATAACACTGTTAAGATTAACAGACTTCACGCCCAGTTTAAGGGAAAAAAAGCCAGAGCTCTGATGTAGTGAAACCCTGTGGGACATTGACTGTGCTCTTTTAGTTCTCTGAATGGTGTTTGGTCTAAATTAGTTTGCCGTTCCAATTCAATATTGTGTTTTAAATTCCAATTAATTATAATGAAAAGATAAAATAAAAGATATAGCAACGTCTACATTGTTCATACTGTGACCTGCTAATTTCAGCAGCCATGACAAATGCATATCAGTTTGTTTCACCCCAAAACATCTAAGGTTGCAACAGACAACTGCTGGTAGGTCTCAGGGAGACTCAGGAGAAATCAATCCCCTGATTTATATCTGCTGTTATCAGTTTCTGATCCTTATCTCTGCTCCGGGGGTAAGTGGGGTAGACCTGGCTGAAAGTGGGACAAGGCCGGGGAAGTCAGGAGGTAACACAAGCCAAGCGACACACAATGATGCTGCGACTCAAGGCATGTTAGGATTCGTGAGCCGTGAACAGGAAGGAAAGGCGAGCCAACAAGTCGACACTGACTGCTGGATATGCCGGTGTGAGGCGGCGTCATGAGGTTTCGTGATGGGATTAAAACAAGAAGCAGTTCCTTTTGTCATGAAATGAAATGTAGATTTCTCATCCAGAAAGTGTGGAAAATCCCATCCAAACAAATTCTCCAAAAGAATGTTATAAAAATACAAATTTCAGACAACAAAAAGTTTCTCACCAGTTATTACATACCAGACCATGTCAATCTGGAAATGAGCAAATACTCTTAGAGTGTGTGTTCTGAACCTCCAGTTGGATCTCATATTGATTCACCACAAACATGACATCTTTTCCCCCTCAAATCTTTGTCCCTCAACAACAAAAATAAATAAATTAAATAAAATCATCCACAGCATTTAGTTTTCATCCATCATTGCTTATTCAACATGAGGTAACAGCGGTGTCAGACCCAAGAGGGAAACCCAGACATCCCTCTCTCCGGTGACACACTCTCCAGCTCTGAGGTATCCCAAGGAATACCTTCGCCAGAGAGAACATATGATCCCTCAGTGAGTTCCTCCCAGAGCCTGGAAATCCTCCAGAGGAAAGAGGCCAGGAAACATCCCAATAAGAAGTTCAAACCACCTCAGCTGACTGTTCAACGTGGAGGAGCCACGGCTCTAGTTTGAGTTTCACTGATGACGGAACTCCTCCATGTACCTAAAGCCATAGCAGCTCTCCTTGTCTGCTGGTCTCCAGTTCACGTACCCATGACTCTGTTCCCAGCCTGCTTAGCTCAAACTCCCATGGGGGTACTTAAAGTCATCCACATCTGTAAATCTGTGTAAATGTTACTCATCTAAACAGCTACACAGACACTTTGAAAGACAACAGATCCCGCCCTATACATTCGCGTACATAGGAGGGCTTGCCAGGCAACATCTGAGCTGCAGAATGGAGAGTTTTACATCTAGACTTACTACTGTAACATGAGTCTGGTTAAATCATCTCTGTGTGAAACACATGGCCCACACATCTATGGATGCAACTTCACTGGTTCCATTACAAGGTCATGCAATTTGCGCCACCGCACAACCAACTGTACTGACAACAAGTGAAATGTCAGATCTCACACTCATCTGTGTTACTCCAAATCACCCTGAATGAGCTAGAGTTGTGTAAAGGACACAGGTTCTTATGGATCTTATCGTCCTCAGAAGGTAGAGTCAGTCATCCTGTAATTGGAGAGTTGCCAGTTCAATTCCAGCTCCTCCTTGTTCTGCTTTTGAATTCTTGGACACATTTCACCTACCCAGCTGTGTAAGCTGCTTTAAATCAGGGGTCACCAACCTGGTGCCCTCAGGAACCATATAAAGGGCCCTCAGGCAATTTCTCCAGATTGCTCAAGTCTAACATAAATAAATGAAAATTTTAAATCTGTTGCCATTTTTGTCACAAATGCATTAATATAGATTTATAAACAACACATTTCTTTAAGAAGCATGAAATTCTGTTTATGATGCATGACATTTAGTTTAACTCTGA